GTGCGCCCCTGCATGAGTTTGCGCAAGTGCGGCGTCGTTATTCTTAACAATGTAATGAAAAAAAAAAAAAAAAAAAAAAAAAAAACGAATCCGAAACACGTACAGTATAGTTATACATATTTGATATACACTTTGGGAATAAGTATTTTGGATCGTACACGTGCAACGATTTGTTGATCGATTGATTTTCCGCCGAGCCAATAACGATTTTTTATTGCCGCGGACGCGAATAAGCTGATGGAAATTCTTTTCTTTTTTCTAAATTTCTTCACGTACATAGTTTGCCCGTGCAACCGAGCCAACAGAGAAAAAGTCTGCGCGACTCGCTAATTAATTTATCAAACAGCTCGCACATTATACATGTATGTGTGTATAAGTCAACGTCGAGTGGTACAACTGCATCAGGTGGGTGGGGAGGGGAAAGGAAGGAAGGCCCGATGTTTGCTTAATATTCGCACGACACACGCGTCAGGAAAACCTCGTTATCTAATTCATTGGGTGGAAAAAGCCAAGCAGCCGGAAATATAACGAGGTTTTTCTTCTTTTAAATGTTATGTACATGCTCCAATATTTTTCTATCCCAGAATCTATAGTGTTTGTTTTTTTTTTGTTTTTCTTATGCCACATTTATTCAAGCGTTTGTATATTTGGGCAAGTGTACATCTATACAGTAGCAGCTACCGGCTTTGCATAAGATACATCATCTACATACATTATACGATCGGTAAAGAGCGCTAATGTTTTGCGTATGAGTAATTGGTGATGGTAATAACAAATGTACAAATATAATACGTATGTAATGTATCGTTGTGCGCGTAAACAAAAGAGACACGATATAGTGGGCAATTTATTGACGTGTGTTTACAAGTTATCCTCGATAAGGTATCGCATGAAGTTGGCACTAATCGGCTTGTATGAGCAAAGTTAGGAGAGAAAACGTTGAATCACGCGAGTCGTGTCGACTCTTGTCTATTTCATTATCTCCGGCGCTCGTTCTTTCGACCACTACAAATTGCAAGGAAATTGTGAAGGTAATGCCAACCGGGACATTACGATGATGTCTCGGAATAGACCATCCACAAACAAACATAAGAGCATGATATTATCTGCCATCGTTGACGCGGTGCGCCCGAAACTTCTCGTTGACAGCAGAGCCGAGTTTCTTGCCTTCCGGTGTGTGTGTGTGTGTGTGTGTGTGTTTTATGCACGTGCATGGCCTTGATGCTGGATATTACAGGTTGCAGGGATCGCCCGGGGAGTATCAATTTGCCAGTTTAATTGAGTTTGCGCCTCGAGTATCGTGATCGTTTTGGTTTAATACCATGTATTAATCAAATATGTGTGATCATATGGATTTTGGGACAGTAGCCTGTGGCCATTACTGATAAATGGGTGTGTAAGTTGTCGTTTGAGGGATTTTTTTGTTAATTTCTTTCTTTTTTTTTTATTTAAACATTTATCATTCGAGACAACTGATTCGTATACCGGAAGGACGACTCGAGCGCGTCATAATGTCTCCGATGAAAAAATTATCGCGGCTACCGTGGTTGGATACTTAATTCGTCTAATGACGACGATTTTGTCTTGAAATCCATTAGAATCGTTTTTTTTTTTTTTTTTTTTTTTTTTTTCGTACAATTGCTTTGAGCAACCGAAACAATTAAGATTGCACGGATATAATATACCTTCGCGGGCTTGGTCAATTTGTTCGATAAATTACCAAGTTTTTGTTATCCGCAACTAACAAAAAGTGATAAACTTTTCAGCCTTTATCCAATGCCGTTAAAAAAAAAAAAAAAAAAAAAAAAGAAATTGTTCGATCGAATGGTATTTAATTATTTCTCGCTCCCACATACCCTCCGCGCGCTTCGAGCTACCATAGCCGATTAGTCACGCTCCCGTGTTAAATACATTCAACGGTGAGTCGGACACGCGCTCGAAAGAATTTTCACTGATAAAGCATTTCTTTTGTGACTCGCTGCAACGATGTTCGGAGAAAAAGCAATGACTTCTCCCGCCCCCTCCCCACCCTGCGTTTTCCTTTTCCTTGCGTATCCACGTCGCATTTTGTTTTTCCATTCGTTGCCCGATCGATCATTGATTTTTCCGTCGCTACATCGACGCGGCCGTGTAAGCGAAAAATGCTTCGGAAGCGGGTCGATTTATCATTTGGCTTTCATTCAACTCGATTTTCCACGCGGAACCAACAACGACGGCGCGGGGGTAAAAACAGCCTTTCCGTAGACATCTCGATACTGCACGCGATCCAAACCCCTCCTCCGCGGCGCGCGAGCCGAAGCATCGAATCGCGAAAAAAAAAAAAAAAAAAAAAAGAAAGGTCCAAAAGCTCCCGTGACGGATCGAGCGTCATAATCGTGCGCAAAAAAGTTTAATTTCGGCCGAGCGAGCCGATCGAGGTGCGCGCCGCTCTCTCGCTATGTAGTCGTTTCTCGCGCGACGCGCGTGTGTTCCTTCTCCCCGAGTTTCGCAAAGGCACCTTCTCGAAATAGAACGCCTAAATAATTTGCCTCGGATTACCACCGCACACGCCTAAGCTTCCTCTCCCGCTCCTTCTTCTGTTCTCCGTGTTTTCGGTCGCGCTATTGTACGCGCTACTCGATGCATGAAAAAACTAGAGGAAAATTTTGCCAAATCTAACGCAATGCGTACATGTGACTCTGTGCAAGCGACAGATGGACCCGTCATTACGTGGCGATAGAGCTCACGTTTGTGATGCATACATATGGGATTCGGAGTGGAGTTGCGTTGTTACTCTGTAACATCAACAAATCTTTTTTCCAACCCCTTGTATACTATTCGTATGGCCACCTGAGTACATTTTAGTAAGTGAAAAAAAAAAAAAAAAAAAAAAAGAAATGTTTGAGGAGAGCAACCGATTCCACGGGTATGCACTGCCTCTTTTTCAATGTCACGATCGTTTCTCCAAAACACACCCATGTACACCTGCAACTCTCGATTTCTTCGGAAGCTCTTGTCCTCCCCAAACCCCAGATATGGCAACGACTATTTTTGAAAATTAAGCAGCCACTCTCAATTAAAAGCCTATCGCATCAAATTATCGCTCAAGTAGAGGGGAAGAAAAAAAGAGATCCCGTACACGTACAGGTATATACGTATATAAGTAGGTCAGCGAAGATGCCGGCGCTGTGATGCCGTTCCCGCGCTGTATTACCTACGTATATACCTGTATACATTTCAACGAGCTGCCGATGTTTACGTGCGCACTATACATAGGACACATGAAATGAAGTCGCCGAAACAATCGCACGTACACCTTTTGATTAGCGATATTACCAATGTAAAAGAGACGATAACGTTTTAATGAATTTCACCGCAAATCGGCTATCTATTATGTGCAACACGGACACCCACATCGATCAAAATAAAATCGCACACTCGCTTTCTTTTACATACATACACACACACACACACGTATACACATTGCAAGAAGCACCAGAGATAGTCAATCTTGTATTCATTAATTAAAAATTATCTGATTATTCAACTGAATCGCCGGAAATTTAACTCATACGCAAAAGCAAAAATGAAAAAGCCGTTTAAACATGATTAATATCATCCAATGAGTGTGTATACATGATATCAAAGAAGAAAAGCCTTTCTCCGTGAACGTTGTGCGTATGCGCGATAAAACAGCCGGGGAAGTCTCGATTTTTCTCCGGAAAAGTCCCACAACGAACAAACCAACCAACTGCACACACTCCCACCGGCATCATCAGGACCCAGATAAACATCCGTTCTCTCCCTATTACCTGGTACATATATATATATTATCCGTGATTAAGTACGTTTGTACCTTATACATCTATATATATTTATACGTCTCGCAGATAGCCGTGTATATTGTAATCAATTCAGTTTCTCTTTCCCCGGAAAATCCGTCCCACCCAATAAATGTAGTAACACGTATACGTGGTACACCAGACGCACCGACCGATCGATCGATCTCTTGCATTTTTCGTTATACACACACCTGTATCATCAATTAACCTACATTGTATAACATATATGTATGGTAAGGCACAGCGTGTATACGCATAGGTGTAGGCATATGTACGCATTTGCGAGGATCGAAGCGGAGTCTCGTGTTTTTCGCAACCCCCGCGCGGTCCGATTTTGCCGGGGGCTGGCTGGCAAAGCCGACCACAACGAGCGAAAACGAAGTCAAGGAAAGCAAAGAGAAGAAGCATCGCCGGCCCACCCGAAGCTATGCGAAACTCGCGCGCAAACACAAGCTCGCGCGTATACAAATAAACACACGCGACCTTACGGGCGGGTGATAAAGACTATTTGAAAAACCAGCCGATCGCGACGTGCCCGGGTTGACTCGGGAGACATACTTTATACCTAGCGAAGAAGCACAGAAGAAAAAAAAAAAAAAAAAAGAAAAAAAAAAAGCCCTCGCCAGTTGGCAGACGTTTCTACCGATGCGCGTGAAACGATTTGGCTACTATGCCTGCGGCCGAAGGAAGGAGCTTACGTAATCCGACAGCTTTTGGATTACACCGATTGCGAGGAGTCTTTTTTTTCCTCCTCGGGGGTTTGTTCCCCAGGGATTTGGGGTGGTCGGTTTCCCGAGTCGCACACGTGTACAGTGGAATCAGGGCATCGCGACGGCCGAGGGAAGAAAACACAAATTATACGTGCTTTCGTTCTATTCTCGGGGCGCGATAAATTGCGCTTTTGTTTTAACACCGAACTAGACACACACACGCACACACCCTGCGCCAACTCGTGTGATATGTGTGGCTCGGTTCATCGGGAATCATTAGGTTTTCGGGGAATCGTCGCGCGCCACGCACGATCCAAAAGTCCGTTCAACGAAATGCCGATAAGAACGTCAAAACAAGAGGCTAATGGCACGCCTGCCGATTTAAGGATGAAAAAAAAAAAAAAAGCTCCGCGCTGGCCGCGAAATTCAAACCCATCGAAGTTGATCTGGAAAGAAAGGAGACACTGACCTTTTGGACGACGAGCGGCGTGCCAAAGTCCTTGCCGCCTTGCAGCCGAAATCCCCAGGGCGACCCGTCGAAGCGGGACAACTTGACGCTTATCAGCTGCGCCATATCCTCGTCTTTGTAATTACGGCCGTGTAGCGCGTTTCTTCTTTCACTCTCCGCCTTTTTTTTTTTGTTTTTGTTTTTTTTAATATTCTTCCGGGGTCTACACTTGCGTCTCGGTGGTCAACACTCTGTCGGCGAGTCGTCACACCCTGGCACCAAAAAATCGAGAGATATCGGTATATATGTACCTCCTGTAAGGCCCGTGTCGTGCGTATTATATATTATTATGTTAAAATATCGTTTCAACTGTTCGTGCTCGCGTCGACGTATACAGCCAAGACTCCGGATAACGCGTCTTATCGCTCGGATTATCGCGAAGTACTTAAACTTGGAAGGAAAAGAAAATGGTACAAAGTGGGAAAAGTAAATGTCGTTTTTTTTTTTTTTCGTAAACTATGTGTATATATAAATGTTGGGCCGGACGAAGAAAAAAAAGCTCCGGGAGCTGTGTGTTTTAGGTGCGCGCGCGTTGCCCCTCGGCTGGTCTCTCCATGCGATTTGAAACCTCGAGCCTGGGCTCTCCGGTGCCTCGTGCCTGCGACTGGTTGCGCTCTCCCTCCGCTCGCCGGCGCGCCTGCGTATTGACTCCTGGACTCTTGACTTTTGGTATCTCTTTTGTGCCCCCGCTCTCTCTCTCTCTCTCTCTTCCTCCGACGATTCGGAAAGAGAGTGGGAGACGACGACGACGACGACGGCGACGGCCAAAGTATTAAATGTATATATGTATGCGTCTATGTGTAGCAGGAGATGATGATGATGCTGGTATTCCCGGCATTTGCGCCTTTTGCTCTTTCGGGGCCGTCCTTGGAGTGCCTCGAGTAGCCGATTCGTGCGTGCGCCGAAAACTCATCGTCCACGCATGCACGTGTGATAACGAGTTTTCTTTTGGTTTGTCACCTACTACATTCGTCGCAGCGCGTGCAAGTAAGTCCCTTTCTTTCCACCACCCCCCCCCCCCCCCGACTTTTACGTGAGCTCCCTTTCAGTTCGTTATCATCGGTATATTCGATTTTTGGAAGATAAGTACTTGGGCGAGTGACGTGCACTTGTACTTTCACTTTATGAGCAGTAGTTTGGAATTATAAATGATATAGTTTCCGGTTCGCCGTTCCGTTGCTTCGGTGTCGCTGCATTCGCACGGCCGATGAGACAGCCGTGCCGGTCTTATCGCGATCCTTTTCACCGCAGTTGGTCGTCGCTCTGAAGTGGAATCGGTGATAGCACGTGTCTGCGTTGCGTTGAGAACAAGTGCACAGGGTAGTGGATACGTGAGTTATTTTTTTTTGTTTGATCGTACATAAGGTCTTGTAATATCTGAACTCGTTGCGTTAGTGCGGGAGTATACATACTTAGGTGTATACTTTTGGCTGGTGTTATCAGAGTTGCGGGATCGGCGCCATTTTGGTTCCATTTGTCTATTGTTTTTGACATGCAAGTATATTATTATTATTATTGTGTCTTATATATTTTACACCCGTGTGTAATGTCACGGGAAGGTGTAGGAGAAGGACGATATCGATGGAGAATCGTGCTTAATATCTCCTAAATACACGCAAGATTTAAAAATCTCAAAATCGTCATCTCGACACCACCGGCGTCCTTGTATCCAATTTTTTTGTAATAGCAATGCGGAACAGGATGCAATCAAGACGCCCAAAATTTATTTATTTATGCTTTTCGTTTCTTCATTCGGTCGACTATCGATCATAATCAAATTATAATGTTATTCATTGCGAATGTAATATAAATATAATTGCTTTTAAACAGCAAAAGTCTGGTCGGAAGAAAAACGATTTTTCCACAAATTCCAAGGGTATGGTTCTCTGTGCCGCAAATCGAAAATGAATTTTAGCTTTTACCCCCCGCCATGCCAACAAAGAACTGCGTAAAATAGCCCGTGTGCATCGTATATAGAGATCGGCACGATTGGGCGGTTGCGCGAAGGCGGAAACTGCGACTGTTTTTCGGAAGTAACAGCTCAAGGTTCCGGATTTCGAAATACCTCGCCCGGCTAATTTGCACGCTAATAGATGTAAAAATAATTTTGAAGAAGTGGACGTAAAAAGGAAAAACAGCTGCAAAATAAAATACTTTTTTATTTCGGTGTGCTCATCCGAGTTGCGGAAATTGACGCACCAGGTGCAGATAATACATAAGTAATATTGTGTTGTAGCGGGTAAATTCCGCCGAGCGTGACGATCACCGCGCGCGTCAAACGCTATTTATAGAATCTCGGAAAAGCTTTTCTTTTCTTTTTTTTTTTCGTCAACAACTCAAATAACTCACTGATTATATATACTTATGCACGGACACGCGCGTATCACGTGCGGCGCTCGAACCTATATTTGTGTATATATATACACCACGCATTGGGTGTTTATTGTTTGGGTGGAAAATTTACGGATTCCGTGATTTTTTCCAAATGGTAAAAATCTCCCGTTTCTCACGTTCGTCTCCATGGGCTCGGGTGAACCGAAGAACAACACACCTCTGCGGAAAGGGTGCGCTCCGTGTCGCGAACATAATATAGGTAATACATGTATACGTATAAAACCAATTTGCATCACATTGCGCGAAAAGAAGGAAAAAAAGTATACAAGTTCGTGGGTCCAAGTTCTCACGCTCGTTGTGTTTATTATTGTGCTTTCGGGCGCCTCTAGACTCCTCCTCGCTCCACAAATTCCTCTCGACTTGTTTTTGCCGTCCGCCCGATTCGCTCGAGGAATTAAACGTCGAATATTCCTACCGACCATTCGATATCACCAATTGCTCGTAATTTTCATCCAGGACTGATTATATACGATAATGGGCTCTACGTTTTTTTTTTTTTTTTTTTCGTATACGGTATGAATGACGTTTTGTATGAATTTTTTTTTTTTTTTTCGGAGGTCCAAACCATACAAATATTATTGATAGCCGTACGACACTGATTATGAGCCACATACAAAGTTTGAGGGTCAAAAAAATTAGTTATTCAGTGCATTTCTCGTTCATAATGTAATATAGTACAAAAAAAAGTTGCTCAACATCGACTCGTTTTCGATAGTAAACCATAAAAAAAATAAAACACACGGGTAAAAGTGAAAATTTCAAAAATAAGGACGCCTTACGATAATTGCCGAGGTAATAGAACTTTCCCTTTTTTCTTTCGTTACCATACATATTCTTGAAACATGTACTTAGAAAAGAATAATTTCGGAGATTTAAAAAAGTCTTCGACGTGAAATAATTACACGCGCTTAGTGTGAATTCCTGGAACGTGTAATAACGCAGTTTACGTGTGGGGATAACGATCTCGGTTTCGAAAATTTATGGATGGGAAAAGAAACAAAAAAAAAAAAATTGTGTAACCGTAACGCGATACTTGGACAACCAACGGATTGTTGGGCCGTAAAATATTTTACCGCTTCGGAGTTTGTCTGCGTACGAACATACCCAACTTTGAATAACATACTCGTATAGCTAAAACAATCGATCTCTTCTTCGTTATCGTTTTATCGCTTACCGATTTCCTGACCAAAAAAAAAAAAAAAAAAAAAAAAATCGGCTACAAATCGGCAGCAACGAAAAATGCACCGGCCATGATTTCTCGCGAGTACTTACTCTTCGAGATAGCCGGACTGGACTCCCTCGATCTTCCGAGCGCCTCCGACTCCTGCAGCACCTTCGACTCGTACGAGACGATGTACTTTTTGACCCTCGGTCCGTCGTCCTCGCTGCTCTTGACCGATATCTCGAGCTCCTTCGACTCGGTCCAGGTCTCCTCCTCGGACATCAAGTGGGGCGCCCAGCTCGACGAGTCGTCCCGCGAACTCAACGAGTGCCGATCGTCCTCCATTGCCGACAATCCCTGCTGCTCCTCGGCCTCCTTCGGCTGACTCTCGCTCTCCTGTTCCTTGCCCTCCTGCTGGGCCGCTTCCTCTGCTTCGGCTAAAATTATCCGCCCGATTATCGTTAGTGCGGGTGTGTCAAAGGTTACTCGATGGGTTTGTCACTCGGAAAATGATAATTCTAGACGTCGATTGTCTCAATTAGTGTCCAAGGAATAAAAAAATGGTGCTTTTTGCTGTTATTTCCTTGATTAATGCGTATAGAGATACCACTTCGAAGTATGTATTATGGATGGTTTGATTACCAACTACGTGGAAAGGGGGGATTAACGGAACAAAACAAAACACACAGTTGCTCAACAATTTTCAGATTTATTCAACACCAGATATGATATTAATACACAAATATAAATATTACAAACGGTACATTAACAACCATTTCGTGTGTTTCGATGTTAGTTCATTGTGTGCATTGAACATTTATTGTCTTTTTTTTTTTTTTTTTTTTTTTTTTTTTTTTTTTTTTTTTTTTTTTNATCGTTTTATCGCTTACCGATTTCCTGACCAAAAAAAAAAAAAAACAACAACCGATCTTCGTCCGATCGTACAGTTTAGAGACCAAACAATAAGCACGGATATTACCGATCCCGGTCGATCGTGACACCCCCAAAATATATACGTGTGCAGCCCATCGGCAAAAAAACACAAGTCCCGTGGAGGCAGCCTCGGCTACGGTCGCGTGTGCGGGCGTTCGTCGCATTCCAAAGTATTATGTACATATACATAACACAGAGGTGGTGCTCTCCAAGCGCGTGGACAAGTTTGTGACTCATCGGTACTGGGCCGGCTGATGCTGTGCTCTCAGGAGCGAGAGAGGGCCCAAGAGATGCTTTGGCATAAAAAAATCGTCATGCTTCCTCGTGTTTTTCTTTTTCACCTCCCTCCACAATATATATACTAATGCCGCTTCGTGGCACGGAGAGCGCCGAACGTGACTCACTGACTGGGACTTTTGTTTCTCTATACATATACACTATACATGTATACCGTGTTTGCAGCGGTGGTGGTGCACAACTATTCGTATGCGTATGTATACCTATACATACGTGGCAGGTATACCTTAAACGTACCCCGACACAGGGGGCAATTGTTTCGTCGTAAACTATAGGCGGGCAGTTTTCTGCTACCGATATGTTGTGGAGCGAGGATCGGTGGTGTATCGGTTACGTTTTCCGGGAGCTCTTGTGGATTTTCGCGCGTCGATCTAAGTAGGGTGGAAGAGAAGATCGAAGCCACGGATTAGAGTTGAAACATGAGTTGTTTTACCTCTTTAGGGATTCCACTGCTGCCGATCTTCACGACTTGGCCATTTAAAGTCGATTCTGTTATGTGTACGACAGTAACAGTGATCAGTTTACAGGTTGCAGGTCTTTGGTACGCAATAACATAATCATTATCGATGTATCGGTACTGTGGTATGTTTTTTCATGAAAAACGCCCGTGAAAGTCACCATGTATCCTTTTTTTTCGGTGATTTGTTTAAACGCAACAGTATGTATCTTCAGGGTAAGCGCTGTATCTCAACTACATTCGATGAATACATATATATATATACAGTTTCGATCAACAGCCGTACATTTTGTTTGCCACAGCGGCACGATCGATCAAAATGCAACGACAAACCACGCGATACGGCTCAGAGAGTTGCGTAACGTGTAACTGCTTTCGAGTTAAAATATACGAGGAACGTTGGTCTAGCCGTTTAGAGAAACAAGTTTGCAGCAAAGATATCTGTATACCTTATACGTACAAACAAACACCCCCCTCTGCGGTCATGAGTGGCTTGACTTTCTTCTCGAGAGTCGAGTGCAGGTACTGTACTAATACCTTCTCGATGGCTCTCCCCCTTTGTTTTGTTTTTTTCGTTTTTTTGCTCTTACCCTTTCCGCGAAAACTGAGTCCTTGCAACTTTTTGCGATTCACGCGTTTAGGATGTTTCTTTTTTTTTTTTAAACTTAATCAATCTCAGTGTTTTTTACGATTTTCCATTGAAATCGGTATTTCAATAAAATTCCTTGGTGTATCAATGTACATTATTATATTTATGCATGCCTCGACAATAAATATGGCAAACTGGGACTCGGTCGAATTGCATCGTAACTGTGCCCATCGTGAGCAAACTATTGTTGTTATTTAAATTCTGATATACTCAAAAAATCGATCGGTCTATCAAACATCTCTGTTAGGCCGATGGGGTTTGGCCCCGAGAGAGGAAAAAAAAAAAGAAAACAAAAACTAGCACAGCTGGAGGGAGGGAGAGAGAGAGAGAGAGAGAGAAAAGGCATATTTTCCCGTATGAATCACATGGAAAAAAAGCCCACCCGCGGCTATTGTTTGTTGCGCCCCTATACCGATCTCTTCCAACGTCTAACTCGTAATCGAATACGTTGTGCAGCCGTAGACGTGCAGTAAAGTATATTTTCGACCAAGTGTATCAGGAAGAAAGAGGAATGACAAACGGTATTGACTCGCGATTCGAAAAAATACCACCCGAATGAACTGTAGCCATTGGAGATGCCGTCGAGGTTCGTCTCATCGATGAGTCCTCGAAAAATAATTGACACCTATTTCTCATCCGTAAGTTATTCAAAATAGCTTTCGTGTTTTATCTTAATAGATTCAGAGGAAAAAAAAAAAAAAAAACGTTGGTCAAAGAATTGAGTGTTAAATCGTTGAGTCAACTGCGAGCGCAACGTAAAATATACGGTGTAGCGACATATACAGTGGGTTACCTAATAACATGACGTGAGAGCGCGTCACGCGTGTCGGTGATATCTTAATCCTTTGTATACACAAATGCATTAGATACAAAACAGTCAACAACTTCGTGTCATTGATAAGTTAGTCACTTGACAAATGACCGACGAACGACGACTAATAGGTATACCTAACCACATGCAATATACATCTGATAAACTTAACAAAAATTTATACTATAAAGGTCATGCACTTGAATGACACTTATCAATCACTTGCAGTCGATTATGGGACAATTAATTATAAAAATCGCTGTCAATCGTTGAGGTATATCTTGTAGTACATGCACAGTACGTGATTGTTTCAAAACGTTTCCCACGCATAACTTGGTGCACTTATGAGTCTATTGAAATTTTCAAGCCACCCTGAGGTTCGGTAATCGAACAATGTACCATATACACATAAGTGTTGTATTTACGTGAAAACATCGACTTGATTCATGAACAGTTTAATTTGCCGATACGACAACCAGTAAATTGGAGACGACTTTTTATACGTACTATCGCCGTAAGAACCTCTCCAGGGGGAATTTACGTAAAAAATTCTATCAACGATTTTTTCTTTCCCCAAATTTTCTTGCGTGTTTCGGGTGAAAAGGTGCTTCCACGCTTTGTCCTCGCAAAACACAAACGCACCATTTGCCCCGTAATCGGCAAATTCAAACAAAGTCCCAAAGCACCCGATGGACCAAAGCTACCCGCGAGAGAAGTCTATTTAACTCCCGAGTCGGTATGTACATGTAATATAGGTACTCCACCGAGTTAAGAGCGCGCGCGCGCGACCCTCGAATAATGTTTGTATAATCCCGTATTTTCAAAGTCGTGCCGCTCATGCATAAAATATACGTGCAACGAGAGGCGCCGCGCGCATTATCGTCCCGGGCACATCTAATGCCTCCCCCTTGCCGATTCGACGCAGCACAGAAAAACCAGTTTTTCCATACACCTACTTGTTTTGCACGGCGACTTTAATTTGTTTCGGATAGAGTACACTCGGCTCCTACACGTGCCTCTATATCGCCTCTCGCTCGCGGCTCTTTGTTGTAAGTGCATTCGAACGAGCGCACGACTGCGATAAAGAGAAACCGTCCAGACTTGTGTGTGTCTCGGGCATTTTTTGTCTCCCATACATGAGAATGAACAGAGAGAGGGATGTCACGCTGCTCATTTAATTACCGTACACCGGGTTAAGCAAATTTTTTTTTTTTTTTTTTTTTTTTCTGCGGGTAAATGAGAAAGAAAAAAAATCCACCTTACGGCGGGTGGGTGCGTGTATAGTTGAAATGAGGTTTTATTCTTTAAAAAGCTGCGTTCGTGTTTGGATGCACTTTTTTTCTTGTCTGTTTCTTTTGTTTTTACTTGCGATTTCATTGAAATTGTCATACATGCATCAGCGTACTTTTTCAAACACATGTATAAAATGAACAATCGTTTGTTTAAATGAAAAGGAGATGCGGCTCTGCTGTTGCTTCCTTCCCGTTAGCTCGCCCGTGACTTTTTCGCGCATTTGATGAGAAACCACGTAGCATCTCGAACGACCCGTCTTTATCGTGTTGGTTGATCGGCAGATGGAGCGAGCACGAGTTCCAAAATCGATTGTTCCTTCCCGTTGATTGCGCGCGTGGGACGATGGCGAGGTGCTCCGGTCAGTGGCTGATGCTCCTCACACTCGAGTCGTCCGCCATGCAGCACATGGGCGTGTTCTGCGCGGAGAAGAAAAATGAATTTCTTTTTTTTTTTTCCATCCGTTGTTCGGAAGGAGGGACGGAGGGGCACTTACCACCCTCTCGATAATGTCCTCGGCCGCTATGACCTTTGGCGGCCGGGCTGGAATTCCTTTTTTCGGCTCGGCCTCTATCTTGTGGATCATCCTGTAGACGCTCGAGTTCTGCAGGTGGTCGAAATTCGGCAGGGCCTTTTTCTCGAATTTCTTGAAGTTCACCCTGAAATTCATCGAAAGATGCGGATGCAATTTATATTGATTTGATTCGCCCTTTTTTGAGGAGAAAATAGTATATTACGTTACGAGGCTGTAAAGTGGCTGATGTACGGCCGCGGGGAGTGTGTCGCCCGAGGCGAAGCCGAGCCACCTTACGGCCGAGTGACGTATACAATTTTTCGTCATCCCGTAGAGGAAAGTTTGTTCAACAGGTTGATTTGGTTAACGCAGGGAAAAATGAATCGCTCAGTGAACCGTGCGTTCCTTACAAGCATTGATCCTATACACCGAGGTCCTAATGAAGTGCGAACGAACGAACGATGGATAATCGAACGTGCCCAATAATTGGACTGACCGATCGATCACAAAAAAACATACGCATATTTCAACAGCGAATGCTAGAATACATTTTTTTTTTTTTTTTTGATAGTTCTTCAAAGTACACTAAAAATAACGTTCATTAAACGATACTTCATTCTTGGTTTTCCGGTCCATGTATTAAATATGTTATTAAATATGTGCTTTTTCATATATAGAGCGCGAGCCTTTCAAGCTAGCAGTCCAATAACCATGAAAATTTCTTCAGTCTAATGTTTTCCGGTTTTTGGAAACTCGTTCCAGGTTTTCGTTAGTTATAACTTTGCATGCATGAATATTTATGTAGTTTGTTTCACCTTGGCAAAATATAAGACCCAAAGATCACTTATACGCCATAACGTATTTTCTTTCGATTTCATTTATACATGTATGCTTAAAAAGGCGTGTACCGTATACCTTTTCTTTTTTTTTTTTCAATGCCAACACTTTTAACGAAACACGTACAATTAGTGAAAACTAAAAACCCAATGGTATGCCGTGACTTTCTCCGAAACTTGGGAAAAAAGGGTGAGGAGGAAGGGAAACAAAACACGTCCATATCAGTATTACCCCATCGCTTTGCCACGGATGACTTCTGCCTGCGAGGACAGGGCATCGGCAATCATCTCGTCGTTGAAGAAGTCGTTCGGACACCTCCAGCGTCTACCGTAGGTGAGCTCGAGCTGCCTAGCCTGGGGCTGCCAGAGCAATTCGCGCGGCCGCTTTCTCTCTTTCCTGTGCTAAACATTGAACAGTACATTATTATTATTATTATTATTATTATTATTATTGTTATACATTACAAGTACATAGTTTTTTAAAAACATTTTTTTTATTTTACGGGGGCGTTCGAAATCTCGGCGTCATCGTGAAAAGCGAGAGCTGTCGTGTCGACGACGCTCGTAAATACGATGATGCTCGGGTTATTGTTTTACGGACACGTGGGAAACACCATGATTAAATAAGGGCAAAAAAAGGAAATAATGGCGTTGCTGTACGTGATGTGAGGATAAAAAATACTTATATACACGTACTTATATAGTATAAGGAACTCGTGATTTAAAATCATGTATTTCATGCTAAACCTTCGTGGAACACATTATTAACATATATACCTATATTGTTTGGCTGCGTGTATATAGGAGATAGCATGCGATGTGAATGCACTATAATATACGGACATGGGCTCATACTGTTTCGGTGACTCACTTTTTAATCTAAGATCGGTAAAACACGAGGGAATGTATTGTTGCAGAATCGGTGTATATCGGTTATGGAGGGGTATTTTTTTCTTCTCAACGCAAAAAATTTCTAATCATAGATGCATCTTTAGATGTAAAACACCCTTGCACTACAAATTTTTTTAATGAGAGATTAAACTAAGGAGGTTCCAGTTAGGAAGGTTTCACATCCAAAGGTACACCTTTATTAATTTTAAGGAAAAGTTTTACAGCTTGTGAAATGATGGAAAAAAAAAATTACGTATTTGAGGTAAGGAATGAACAAGGAGTATGGCTTATAAATCGGATGCAGTTTTCCCCTCCTTTCGACAGAGTACTGCAACCCATCGTGCAGTACAGTAAAGGTAACATAGATAATATGGTAACAAAACTAATGAGCGTTTAGTCGACTCGTACAAATCAGAAAGGGAGTACACTAAACAAATCAGGATCTCATATTTTTTTATTTTCCTATACCTGAAGTTCTTGCACCAGTTGTTCTTGTAAACTTAAATTTGGATCTGGTTCGAAACTCGCTGGAATGTTTCATTTTTGTTAAATCATGTGATCGATACGCAATATATAAGGTCATAGAAAAAAAAAAAAAAAAAAAAAAAAAAAAAAAAAAAAAAAAAAAAAAAAAAAAAAAAANATGGGCAGCAACGAAAAATGCACCGGCCATGATTTCTCGCGAGTACTTACTCTTCGAGATAGCCGGACTGGACTCCCTCGATCTTCCGAGCGCCTCCGACTCCTGCAGCACCTTCGACTCGTACGAGACGATGTACTTTTTGACCCTCGGTCCGTCGTCCTCGCTGCTCTTGACCGATATCTCGAGCTCCTTCGACTCGGTCCAGGTCTCCTCCTCGGACATCAAGTGGGGCGCCCAGCTCGACGAGTCGTCCCGCGAACTCAACGAGTGCCGATCGTCCTCCATTGCCGACAATCCCTGCTGCTCCTCGGCCTCCTTCGGCTGACTCTCGCTCTCCTGTTCCTTGCCCTCCTGCTGGGCCGCTTCCTCTGCTTCGGCTAAAATTATCCGCCCGATTATCGTTAGTGCGGGTGTGTCAAAGGTTACTCGATGGGTTTGTCACTCGGAAAATGATAATTCTAGACGTCGATTGTCTCAATTAGTGTCCAAGGAATAAAAAAATGGTGCTTTTTGCTGTTATTTCCTTGATTAATGCGTATAGAGATACCACTTCGAAGTATGTATTATGGATGGTTTGATTACCAACTACGTGGAAAGGGGGGATTAACGGAACAAAACAAAACACACAGTTGCTCAACAATTTTCAGATTTATTCAACACCAGATATGATATTAATACACAAATATAAATATTACAAACGGTACATTAACAACCATTTCGTGTGTTTCGATGTTAGTTCATTGTGTGCATTGAACATTTATTGTCTTTTTTTTTTTTTTTTTTTTTTTTTTTCCCACTCAAAATCATAAAAGTTAAAACAACACATTTTTAATTTGCACATACTTGTTGTATGTGAAACAAAATGATAATCTTAATGTATAGTGAAAAATATTAATGTGTGTGTTTTGATCGTTTCGTTATTCATATATACCTGTTGAGTAATGTGAGAGTGGAAACAAACTTGTAATCATAAATAGTAGGACGTAAATAATATTTAGTTTTAAACGAAAAATCAAAAAGGAATTGTTCCTATACGAATCGAAATGAGTCGAATTGCGCGATACAACGAGCTCAACGAATAAATGCATTTTCAAGAACCGTATCGTTGGGAAGATAAAAAGAATTGCTCAAGTGAACGGTAATTAAAACACAAATTTAATGCCAAAGAAAAAAAAAGCCCACTATTTTTAAGTTGCGTATAAGCATACAACTGAGAAAAAAGTGAAAGTATTTTACTTTTGCACGAGTTAATAATATATAAAAAAACAAAATCTAGTAAAAAAAAAAAATAAAAAAAATAACATTGATACAGTTGGATCGTACAAATGATCCGAAGTTAAATATAAAGTAACATCTGCCAGGATTTAGTTGAATCAGATTAAATAACTGTGGTACCATTATTTTCTTAAAAAAAAAAAAAAAAGTGAAACCACAAGCATACAATTTTCCCTAATTTATCCAGTTGTACGCTTAAAAATCCCAACGGTTGTAAGGTTCACGGATTGCGCGCCTCCTTGCGTTCCCCACCCACCGACCGCCTGATCGTAAAGACCCGTCCCCCGGTCCTGACTTTGCGCTCACCCTTGGCCTTCTCCTGCTGCTCCACGCCGCTCAGCTCCATGATCTTGTGCAGCTGCTCCGACACGATCCTCAAGTGCTTCTCGATCTCGCTGGGCAGCTGCTTGAGGGCCAGCAACTGGCTCTGGACGCTCTCGAGCTGCCGCTCCAGGCTGATCTCCGTGGTAACCAGCTCCTTGATCTTGTCCCGGTCCATCGTCACCGCGACCTCCACGTCGACCTCGGCCTTCGACGGCCCCCTTGGCCCCGTCGACCCTACCCTCATCTCCTGGGCCGGTTCCTCCCCTCCGATGCTCCCGGTGGCTGGTGGTGGTGCCTCCTCGGCGACTAACGGCTCGGGCTATCGACAGATCGTTTATTCTCGCTTTCCGGGGAAAAGTTTCTCCGGGTGTTTTCAAAGGTCAATACTACGCGAGACCATTTCGTGGATTTTTTCATCCCGAGGGGGTATAGTGTTGGATTCGCGTGAGAAACATGACATTTTTCGTTAGTGACGCTCAATAACAATTTCCATCGTATACGATTGGCAAATATGAAAATATAACTTAAGAAAAAATGAAGCATGGTTAACTGGTAGTTGCGGACAAGCTTCTGCAATTGGGTATGCTTGCACCGAGAGAAAACAAACAATTAGAACCAATGAAGCATTTGCTCGAACAGTAGCAAGTAAATTACTTCTTTTTTTTTTTTTTTTTTTTTTTTTTTTTTTTTTTTTTTTTTTTTTTTTTTTTTTTTT